TTTTGCCACTTCCTGAATGTCATAAAAATGCAATGATATTTTTATAACATGCACTTAGCACAATGCATTTGAGATTCATTTATATGGTTGCATGTATCAATATTTCATTCCTTTACTTGCTGAGTGCTATTTCGCTGTATGAAATGGAGTAGTATGTTTGCCTGTTCATTCACCAGTTGAAGGACATTTGGGTTGTTTACAAGTTTTGGTGATTATGAATACAATTGCTGTAAACATTTGCATCCAGGTTTTTGCAGAAACCTATGTTTTCATTTCTCTTGGGTAAATATCTAGGAATGAGATTGCTGGTTTGTATGGTAAGTGTATGTTTAACTTTGTAAGAAACAGCCCAGCTGTTTTCCAAAGGGGCTGTACCGTTTTGCATTCCTTCCAGGAATGTATGAGAGCTCCAGTTGCTTCACATCCGCCCCAGCGCTTGTCAGTTTTGTTTTGTTTTCTTTTTACTTTGTCCATTCTGATAGATGTATAATAGTATCACATTGTGGTTTTAATTTACATTTTTCTAGTGACCAGTGATATTGAGTATCTTTCCATGTGCTTATTTTCCATCTGTAGATCTTCTTTGGTGAAATAACTGTTGAAATCTTTTGACTATTTTTTACATTGGGTTGTATGTAGTTTTCTTACTATTAAAACTTGAGTGTTCTTTATATATTCTGGATACATGTCCTTTACCAGATGGGTATTTTGCAAATATTTTTTTCCCCAGATCTGTAGATTGCCTTTTTACTTTCTTGACAGTTTCTTTGGAAGAACAGAAAATTTAAATGTTCTGTTGAAGATGCTTTTTAAAATTAATTTCCACATAATGTGTATGATCGACTTATCAATCTCAAATTTTGAACCACCAACTGATTTTGAATTCCACTTTTTAATTTAGCAAAAATTTGGTCTTCTGATTTGAGAGCCATCCCTTTTTTAGATTTTTTATTTTTATTTTTATTTTTTTGCATTTATATAACCAGTGCTAGAGTTGGCATCCTTTTTTAAACCAAAGAAACAAAGTTGTGTTTTATTTTTAATTACTCCACATAAACTATTGTGTATGTGACAGTAGTCAACAAAATTGCTCTGGGGTGGCAATGCCAAGTAGTCAGCTAGGTCCACTCACTATCCAAGGGACCTCCACACACAGCATTGTAGGATGTGATGTAAATTTGTGACTGAACAAAATCAAAAATCACTGCATTTCCACTGAAATGTATGCTCCTTGAGAGTTAGGGACTTTTTCTGCTATGTCGCCAGCCGTAGAACAGGGCTAGCCCTCAGGAAATGATTGCTGACAAAAATTCATAATTTGCCTTCTTGAAGGGTAAGGCATGTAAGCTCTGGTTCTCAGGGTACCGCTGAGAATGTCAAAGTCTTAAATGCCAGGCAACGGCCAAGAGCCCTCCCCTAGGGACCTCATCAACATCAGAACCACTTTCGGGAACTTGGAGAGAAATCCCAGGGCCCTGCTTTGTTTGACTTTGCAGAGGGAGGCCTCAGTCTCTTGAGGAGGTAACTGAGGTAAGGATACACCAGCATTCTCAGAGAGGCATGCTGTAGAGTTGAATTTCTGTAACTAGGTGCCTTGATATCATTTGTCTAGTTTGATCTGACTGGCATTGCCCTCTTATGACTGGTTCAGAGGCTGCATGACTACCCCCACCTCCAAAACGGTGGCGGGCTTAGGCCAAGGTTGAAGTCATTGGCAGAGCAGAAGCCAGGCTGTTTGTGGCAGAGCCCAGCTCATCTCCACCCCATTGCCCCACATTTGTCCTGATACTATTTTGGCCTATGGTGTGTGGTTTCAGCTTGTGGGCCAGCTTTTAATCATGACACGATCCCATCTTTTAAGGGCTAAGTGAGTTCTCCAAGAGAGGAAACTGCTGAAGAGGTTTTCCTCAATTGTTGAGGCATTCTCTTCCTTCTAAGTGTCTTATTTTAAAGGTAATACTAGAGTAAAAAACTGGAAACTCCAGATTTAGGGCAAGGGAAGAATCTGGGGAAAGGGTGGTGGTGGGGGATTGTGAGGATGGCAGTTGGTCCCAGGCGGGCAGGCAGCAATTCACACAAAGTGGTCCCAGCTGCCCCTGGTTTACAGGCTAATCCCGGCTCTGCTCCAGCCTGTCATTCAGGGTAAGCTGCTATCATTAGTGGTTAAACATTTCTGAAAGTATTCTGTCAACTCTGACCACATGCCCTTTCAGGGAAGGGTGGGAGGAGCCAGTGAGCCAGAAGAGTAATGGGACCCACCCTGTTGTCATGCCCAGCTGCTCTGCAGAGGGACAAGGAGCCCGGGTGACTGGAAGTAATCATGGACTTGTCAGAGCCCATGTGTGACACAGGATTGATGTTGCATTTTCTGTGCTGCCCACGTGGCCTGCTACTCCTGGAGGGATACAGCCCTCTGTTGCGGGCCATGAGCACGAAATCAGAGAGGCTCTTTTTTGTCCTTTTAAGGGGATTCTTGGCTGAAATGAACCTTCTGTTAACCACTTTTATCTCTGTCAAGCTCTCTGCCCTCAACACTGTACACACATTCACCAGTTGCTCAAGACTGTCTTTCCCTTTGGAACTGGTTTGTGCTCATTCTGCTTTCAATGAGGAGTTGTGGTAAAGTGCTTAATACTAACATTTCTTCCCACGAAGTGGGAACTTTGAAATATTTCTCTTTGACTGAGGTGTGGCTGACGGCGTTGATTTATGAAATTAGCTCAGGGAAAAATAAGATGGAAAAAAGAGAGTCCAGATTAAATCTTTATTTCCATAGTTCAGCTGTACCCTCTATCCACTTTCAGCTGCCACGCAGTCTGTAAGTATGAAGTGTTTCAGGATTCTCTAGGTATCGTCTTTTTCTTTTTAGTTTTGGCTCAAGAAACACCAGTCTTTTTTTTTTTTTTTTTAATTATGTGTTTTTTTTCCCCAACCCAAAAGTATGTAAGCTCACTGAAGAAAACTAGAAAAATCTAGAAAAGCACAAGAGTAAAAGTTAAAAGCTTCCATATTTTCATTATCCGAAGATAATCCCTGTTAACATTTTGGTTTATGCCCATCTTGTCATAAAAATCTGTTTCTTGCACTAGAGAAGGAAGGAGGTGGTGGCAGTTCATATTCACTTAGGAGCCTCCCTGTTTCTTGTCCCGCAGGCTTGTCGCAACAATCGGGACTAGAAAGTCTCACCAGCAGGGATGTTCTGGCGGAGGTAGATCCTCCCAGTGGAGGAACTTTTTAATATTGTTTTTAATTAATGCTGCCATTGGCCAAGTGACCAGTGAAGGAGCAGCCTGGGAGTAATTCAGTCTGACTCTTGAGGTCAGACTGCCTGGATTTGAATCTCTGCTCCATCCCTTACTTTCTTTAGGACTTCTCTGTGTCTGTTTTCTCATCTGTAAAATGGGGATGATAATAGTAAGCTAAGCAGCCCTGGTGGCACAACAGTTAAGTGCTCGGCTGCTAACCAAAAGGCCAGTGGTTTGAATCCACCCAGTGGCTCCACAGGAGAAAAGACCTGAGGATGTGCTCCCATAAAGATTACAGCCTAGAAAACCCTATGAGTTGGAATCAACTCGACTGTACCCAACAACAGTAACAGTAAGCTACCTCTAGGGTTGCCGTATTCAATGAGATAATATATGTAAAGTGCATACCACAGTGCCTGGCACATAATATTAAAGCTCGATGAAAATTATATACTTCCATGTTGTTGCTGTTAGGTGCCATTGGGTCGATTTTCTACTCATGGTGAACCTGTGTGACAGAGTAGCACTACTGTTCCATAGGGTTTTCTTGGCTGTAATCTTTATGGAAGCAGATCAACAGATCTTTTTCTCATGGAGCCACTGGGTGGGTTTGAACCACCAACCTTTCAGTTAGCAGCCAAGTGCTTAACCGTTGCACTACCGACAAAAACCCAAACCAATCACGTTGCCTTCGAGTCGATTCCGACTCATAGTGACACTATAGGGCAGAGTAGAACTGCCCCGTAGGGTTTCCAAGGAGCAGCTGGTGGATTCGAACCGCTGACCTTTTGGTTAGCAGCTGAGCTCTTAGCTACTGTGCCACCAAGGCTCTGTACCACCAGGGCTCCTATATATTTTCATAGTCAGTATTATTACTTTAATTGCTGATGTTACTCTTATTGCCTTATCTCACGTGGTATAAATTGTTCTCCGGGCCTCTGTTTCATTGCCTGGAGGGGATGCTCTTATCTTCACTGGATAATATTTAAATCATCTCACTGTTGAGGAGTAGCAAATAGTTATTAGTAGAATAATCTTCTTTGAGGAAACAGCTGAACTGAAAAGCAGTGAGGCTTAGACATTTTTACTGAGTGAATGCAGTCAAGCTACAAAAGGATCTTGAGAATGTATTCTACCTGTTGCCTTGTGTTCTCTGAAGATCCCACTATTTTCTTTGTATTGTGGATCCATTTCTGCATTGTTCCTCATTTACTTAGATGGACTGTTAAGTCTGCTTTAGTCATCCTTTCTAGGTAGAACATATCAATATATATGTATACTTAAGTTTTTTAATATCTTTGACTTCTCTTCCCAAGGGAAGTGTCTTTCTAGCTGTAGAGAAAGTTGATTTGGGTAAGTTTCAGGCTCTTTTTGCCCAATGGGAGAAATATTTCATCTGTAGCCTGTCCAGTGATTCTTGTTTATTTCTAACATTTTAGCCCAATAAAAATAATGTGATGGTCACAGGATATTTTGCCAGTTATTTCAGATGTGCAAGCAATTCACTCTGGATTTGTTTACTACAAGTGGAAAATTTTACAAGAAGTTGCCTTCTGTGCTTTTTACCAGCGAGGAAGCTTACCTGGGTCTCTCTGTTTAGAGCCAGGTTCTGTTGAATCAAAGACTAGTGGGGCTATTAATAGGTCTTGTTTCCAATAAATAGTGTGCAGGAGAATACAGTGACTTAGGTGGGACACACTTCTTTCTTTTTCCTAGTGACTTATGTCTGTTTGCTCTATTCTTTGAACCCCCCAGGACGCACAGACATTCAGGTGGTTCAGCCAGAACAACCACAGGATCCAATGAGCAGAGCCCTGGTACTAGGAACCGGCACCGCCAGCCCATCAAGAACCCAAGTCACAATGGCTTGCCCAATGGCACAGGTGAGTGATAGCACAGAGCACCAGCCTGGAACAAAGCAATGGCCTTGAACCTGTTCTGACGTGGAGCTGGGACTCTCTCCAGTAAAAGAACATGAGTCTGGCTATGTCAGAATATAGGGTAGGCGAGAGAAGACTCCAGTGTTAAAATGAGTTTGAAACCAACAGTTTTCCAGTTGACCCATCTTATTTTTTTATTTTTTTATTTTTTGTTAAATCTCTGGCTTAGTCTCTATAGGCAAGGTTATTCTTTATATTACTGCACTTTTCATATCTTTGTCATTTCTTATCAACACTGGATTTCATTCAGGGGGAATATCTTATTTATTTATGACACATTTTTTTTATTTCCTTAATTTAAGAAAATTATCAGACTTGGGGAAAAGAGGACTGTATTGTTGCTAAGAGCTGGGTTAAAGAAGATGGCAGTGCTATTGAGCAGGTTGGGCTGCTGACTGCCACACTGCCATTGGTGGATGTGCTGTGGCCATTCTAGTGAGGGTCCCATTCGAGAGTAGACAATTAGCCCTGTCACATACACATAAAACCTGTCTGGTCTTGGCTCTGCCTACCTTTAAGCGAGAGCGGAAAGACCTATTTCCAAACAAGTCAATTTTTACCATGCTTTCCCTCTGTCTCTGTCTTATAGTGTTGGATTTGAAAGAAAGAAAGAAAAAAACTTTTATTTTTCTAAACTTCTTGACAATTGCCAAATCTTTAGTGAGTACTGGTCATTTGGTGATTTGTCTTAATTTGGGACAGTTGGGAAGGGACATGGATGTTTCAATAAATTGTAGGTGGGAAGTACGGGTGTTTAAATGCAGTTGGCATTGAAATAATTTTGTAAATGCTTGTTGGCATAGGCTTGGCATGAAGAACTAGAAATCTGTAGCAACAGAGCTTCATGTAAGGGTTATCATGGCAGTGCTACTGACCTTTCTGTGACAGACTTATTGAGTAGAAGAAGTATCTTTCAGTTACTCTATAAAAACTTTCATCTCTTTAGAAGCATTTTATGAAGGCTTCAGAGCCCCTTGGATAGCTTATTTTTAAGCCATTGCTGGATTGTACCATTGTCTACAATAAACTGCAGGGATGGAGTGCCCTGCAAGGCGCACTGTGAGAGCCATGGCCTGACTTTCTCCCTGGAGTTTGGGAGCTGCCTGAGGAATTGTGTTAACTAGCTAGCCCTGAGCCCTGAGGACTAGATGAGCTGGAGATGAATAGTAGTAGCAGCTGCTGTCTCAGCCCACCTGGAGCTCCTGTGCCAACCACTGTATTTATGTGCTAGAACATCCAGTAAGAGCTTGGCCTGGGCTTCCCATCTATGTAAAGGAGACAGCATGGTGTCAGCTGTGTAGGGTGTTATAGAGAATTGCATGCAGCTCTGTGAGTACCAGTAAACAAGCTTCTCTTAGAAGAATAAGTCTTTTGTGGAAAAAGGCCAACATTTTCAAATGGGAAAGGGAAAACTGGCTTTTTGGAACCAGTTGTTTCCTAGATGCCATGGCTGAGCTACCAACCACTTTATGTTTCCAGAAGCCAACATTATTGTAATGTTGAGTTCCCTCAGCCATGTTGGCTTTGCTTATAAAAACTATAGGTAATTGACTATATGGGGATGGTCTTTGAGTCACTCTTAGACATTTAAACAGATCTGTATTTCCCCTATGTTTATTTTTACGTAACTTTTATGTATTGTGGTTATCTCCAGGAACATTATGTTCCAGCAGACAAGGCAGGTGCCAGCCATGTCTTCAGAAGGCCAAGTGTCTCTAACCCCAGACTGCCTTGGAAGTGTTTTATGGTGGTGTATCTGAATGCCCAAACTGTTCTTAAAACCCATCAGTGAAGGGCACTAGTTGTGTTTTAGGGCTTGTTGCTTGTTAATATACTAATGCCTTGGCGTCCAGCTCTCCCCTCTCTGCTGTGGTGGTGGTTCACCTTTACCTCACAGACAGCCTGGACTTCATAGCCTCTTTCATGTCTACCCAAAGGGTACAGAAAGACCTCCCCTTTACTTTGGGAAGCAGGCAGAAGCACAGGACTAGCGGGGCATCTGAGGATGTGCATGAGGGCATCTTCATCCTTCAGTACGCTACTCTTGGAACTGTGAGGACCAATGCCAAGGTGGTGGTGGTAGTGATCTGTGCCTCCAGGAAATGTTTTCAGAGACCTGCAAGATTTATTTACCAAGTCTTTTTGACCGTACTCTGCAGTTAAGCATGAAAAAGACATTTGGACAAAAATGGAACTGAGTTCCAGGTGGTTTTTTCATGTTGTCACAAACGTAAACTATCCATTTTTATAAAATGAAAGTGAATGGCAGCCAGTCTGTATAAATGCAGTGTTACTAGGTTTTAGAAGCAGAGGAATAGAGAAATAGACTAATGGTATAGCACTTCATTGGGACTTGTGTGGAATGATTCACTTTCTAATTTTTTTTATTGCAAACATTACCCCCAAAAATTGTATCTCTATCTCCTCTCTTAAATATGATTTCCGTGCACATAGGTGGGGAGTAATACTGGCCACACTCAGATCCTGACTCCCCACATACCAGACTTTCTGGGCCTTAGTTTTCTCACTTATAAAACTAAGACAAGAGCATATGTCTCATAGGGTCATTATAAAGAAAAAATTATAGAAAATATGTAGCATGCTTGGCATAGTACCTGGCACATAGTAATCTCTCAGTCAAAGTTAACTATAATATTTCTTTGAGTAATTTCATACAGTCATAATTATGCAGTATGTATATATGTTCATTCTTCACTTTGTTATTTCTTACACGCACTTCCAAGTATTTATGCGGTCTTTGTGTTTACCTTTTTTAGTGGCCCAATGCTATTTCATAGTTAATATGCCATAATTCTTTAACTATTCCTCAATTCTTGTGTATTTCCTTATTATAAAAAAATCCTACTGTAAGCATCTTTGCATATAGCTTTGTTTATTCTTAGAATGAAGTTCATGAGTCAAAGAATAGGAATTTTTAAAAGATGATATTTAATGTATATTGCTATATTGCCTTCCAAAAGGATTGAAGCAATCGTATAGCCAAAAGCAGTGTAAAATTTTCATAAAGTGGGTATATGAGGTTAATTTTCCCCTGGAGCCTTGTTTATCATTTTTTAAATTGGTTTATTATTTTTGCTGATATTAAGTGCCATCTCGGTATTTTAACATCCCTGCATTTTTTCACTTTCTGGCTGATCGACTATTTCTTTTCCCTTGTGTGACTTTTTGTAGTGCTTGACTATATGTCCTTTGGAGATTTAGAAGTTTATTTTATAGATTTGTATAAGGCTTCATATAGTCTGGGTAAAAATTTTATCTGTTACATTTATAAGTTGTGTATCACTGTTTTGCATTTTATCTTATTTTCCATGGCTTTTTTTAAAAAAAAAGTGGGGGGGGGAGAAGGGGATTAAAAATTTTAAAAATAATTGCCTTACCTTTTTTTATATGTGATTTCACCTTTTGCCTTGTGAAAAGATTCTCTTTCTGTAGATAGGAAACTTTATTCTGTTTTGTTCTACTTTTTTCCCCATGATGTGATTAAAGGAAAAAACAAAAAATAATTCTACTGGAATAAATATCTGTGTCACATACACACATACATATACACAATGAGGGCTGGATCTAAATTAGCTTTGCTTTATATTGGGATCCTGTTGTCCCAGAAACATTAACTAGTTTCTTTTCTCTCTATGATTCTACTTAGTATGTATCACATATCCCATTCTTATGTATACTGAGAATTTATTTCTGGATTCTTTACTTATTCCAATTATTTGTTTCTGACTTTGAGCCAGCCTGTGACATGTTATAGTATGTTTTTTACATCTAGGAGGTGTGGTCGTGTCTTGCCTTACTACTTTTTCTCCATGTTATTGTTTTGGTAGTTTATAAGTTTTCTAAACAAATTTTAGACTTGAATTCTTAGAAGTGTGATGGAATATAAATGGGAATTGTGTTAATGTATATATTGATGGGTGGGAAAAATTTAACCTTCCCATCTGGTAGCATGGCATAACTGTTCATTTTTAAGTTTTCCTCTTTTTTTCCCCACTTAATTTAATTTTTTAATATAAGCCTCACGTATCCTGTGTCCTATTAATTATTTTTCTAGTTTTGATTGCTCTTGTGAAAAGCTGACTGATCCACTGCATTGGAAGTGCAGTTGTTTGGGTTTCATTTATGAGAGATACCGACTTCTTTAATGACTTGCTTTACTGTGCAGCATATGTTACGAGCGGATCTTCAGTGTAAAAAGCTTCTGTTGTTGGTGATTGCCTTCTACGTGCCTGAGTGTAAGGGCTGAAAAGACCCATGTGTTCACCAGTAGCCTGTGCTCCACCACACACACCTAAGGATCTTGGAACACACAGTGAGCTGGCACTGTGTCTAGGATTAAGGGAAAGAATTTCCAATTCTTGATCTTTTTTTGGCTGTGACTAGAGTATGTCTTAGTCTTGAATGAATATCTGATTCATAAAGTTAGGATGTTTAACCAACATCACAGAGAGAACCTTGTGAAATGCCTACAGTTGCAGAAACCAGAGGCTTAACTGCCATTTTACCTACTTACCCATTAACCCTCTCATCTTGGTACCCCAGTTCTTCTTTCCATAGCTGAGAGCCATCTTCATCCCCCTACCCCAACCCCTAACACACACACAATTGCTTTTACCCCATGGTGTTGTAGATTTGAGTACCATTTCTTCTTGCTCACTTTGCTGGACCTCTCTTAGTGGTACCTCAGTTTTCTCTTCAGTAAAATGGGAATAATAAAAATCTTTTCATAGGGCATTGGGAAGATAAATGAGCTAATGAAAGTGAACTTGTTAAAGGCAATGGGGGATCCTGAATTGGATCCTAGAACTGAAAGAGGATATTAGTGGAAAAGCTAGTGACATCCAAATAAAGTCCAGAGTTTAGCTAATAGTAATGTACTAATGTTAAATTTCTTTCTTTTTTTTTTAGTTTTGATAAATGTG